AGCCTTAAAAGGTAGAGAACCTTAACTAATCAGTCAATCAGTCTGTCTCAGAAGTTTAAATCTTTCTGTGTCCAAGTAACTGGGGAGGCAGGAAAATTTTCACTGGAAAGATGTCCCTTTCAGATCAATTTTGAAGTTTTTCTCTAATACTTAAGAATCTATGGATCCTGAAATATTTGAAGAGAAAATATTTGACGAAAATAGCTGAAAATATCTCTAATATAGGAAGTGAAATAGTCAATCAAGTCCAGGAAGCGAAGCAAGTACCAGGCAGGATAAACCTAGGGAAGAAGACACATATAATCAACCAAGACATATATAATCAAACTGACAAAAATTAAAGACAAAGATAAAATATTAAAATCAACAAGGGGAAAAATGACAAATATCATGCAAGGGAACTTTCTTCAGGCTATCAGCTGATTTCTCAACAGAAACTATACAAGTCAGAAGGGAATGGCACAATACATTTAAAATGATGAAAGAGAAGAAACTACAACCAAGAATACTTTACCCAGCTAGACTCTCATTCATATCTGATGGAGTAATCAAAAGCTTTCCAGACAAGTAAAAGTCAAGAGAATTCAGCACCACCTAACCAACTTTACAACAAATGCTAAAGGAATTTCTCTAGGCAGGAAACTCAAGAGAATGAAAAGACCTATGGAAAATAAACACAAAACAATTAAGAAAATGGTAATAGAATCGTACATATCAATAATTACCTTAAATGTAAATGGATTAAAGGCACCGACCAAAAGTCACAGACTGGCTGAGCAGATGAAAACATGTGCATGCATGCACTTCCACTTATCACATCACTCTGCTTACCCCCTCCCCCAAATTATATGTAATTATTTTATATTAAGTTAATCATGTTCCCATTATGGCTTGCAATTGTAATTTTGTTTTTTGTCTGGCTATTGATTGTGAAACCTAAACATCTTTTACTATTGTGATTATGTAAGTATTACTCAGTTAATAACATTGTGTCATGATTGATCAACAGAAAAATAGAACTCTATATCACCAAAACTACAGTTTAATAGAAAGACCTCTTATAACTTTTCAAAATCCAGATGCATATCAGAATTATCTTGGAATTTTTTGAAAAATACATATGCTCAGGTATTACTTTTCTTTTTTCCAGAGCTCCAGATGTGTTTCTAATGAGCAGCCATGCTTAAAAATAACTGGACTGTGTGATGATCTTATACTTTTGTCTAGTTTGCTTCATTTTTTCTATTTCATATTCAGAGCTCCCATTTCACTTATGTTTTCCAGTTTCTCCATCTCTTGGTTTTTGTTCTGTGTTCTTTCTCAAACCTTTATCAAGAGTAGTAGAAAAACTTCTCTATACATATATATAAATAATGTGCATTAACATATAATTTAGACAGCATGAATTTTTGCCTAATTAAAAATTAATGACATTTTGATTCCACTTGTTTGACTTGGCATGAATAGAATGCTAGATTTCTAATAAAAAAATAGATATGCAACAAGCAACAAGGTTTACTGTATAGCACAGGGAATTGTAGTAAATATCTGTAATAATCTATAATGAAAAATAATTTCAAAAATAATATATATGTACATGTATGACCGAATCACCTTGCTGTGTACATGAAACACTGTAAGTCCATTATACTTCAGTAAGATATATATATTAAGAAAAAAAAAGGAATCTATGGATCCTGGACAAGACTAAGCCAAGCAATGTTACTGAGCTAAAAGGGAGTCCATGAATTCACTTTCAAGTTTGGCATAATGTGGGATGTGTTAGTGTGTAGTTGTGTCCGACTCTTTGGATCCCATGGACTGTAGCCCACTGCCCTCTGTCCATGGGATTCTCCAGGCAAGAATACTGGAGTGGGTTGCCATTTCCTTCTCTAGGGAAACTTCTAGACCCAGGGATTGAACCCAGGTCTCCTACATCACAGGCAGATTCTTTACCATCTGAACCATGAAGGAAGCCCTAAGTTGGGGTGGGTGATGACAATTTGGGTGGTGAAGAGGTAGTGTAGAGCTATTATATGTGCAAACAGTAGTCACTCAATAAGTACTTGTTAAAAAAAAATGAATGAGTGCATACATAAATAAGTAGATCAAAATATACTGGTCATTTTCAGATCTACTGTTAACAGCACTTGGTTAAAATCACATTAAAAACAAAAAGTAATACCACAAGCTATTCATTTGCTTCAATTTCTTTTGTTTAGTGTAACATCTTGCTCAAAACCCAGAAATGTCAAAATTAAAATCCCCAAATAAATGAGTAATATTTAGTAAGAGTTTATTGTGGATATAAAAACAGTTCACAAACAGGGAGCTTCCACATTCAAAGATGGCTGTGAAGCTTGGGGACGTGAATTTACGGAATGACTTACTAGGAAAAATGAGGACGCTATTAATTTTTACCATGATTGGTTATTACAGTGGAAGTTTCTCATGCCATTATTAGGAAGATGACTATATTTCTTTTAAGATTGTCAGAGCCATTTACAAAAAAAAAAAAAAATCTAGGTTAAATTTCACTTACATTCATGAAATAAGCCAGATTTAGTTTTTCTCACATGGTTTAAATGTTGTCTGCTCAGGAAATTCTCAAATTCAGACTCCATTTGTATTTAATGTTAATACTCTTAGATACTGTTACCACCACTCAGACTGTATAAGACTGCACACAGTAGCTGCCCTCAGGCAACCATTAGATACCATCTCACTTTGGACACCTGCCTTGTACTTCAGTGGAAGGTCCTCTGTTGTCCTCAGGCTTAGAAATCTTAATTCTGGACCCCAGGTGTATGTTTTTCCTGCTTTTGGGGTAAACTGTAAGATATTTTTTGTATTTATTTTTGTAGGCAACTTAAGGGAATCAGAGGTAAATTTTTACCTTTTCATTGCTACCCTTTCACTCTGTTCTTCACCAATAAAGACAGGATCTTGTCTTCTGAGCATCTTGATTGGAGTAACTGAGATTCAGAAATGATTTGTTTTCACTCAGGTTTTTGCTTTGGCAACATGGACTTTTGAGAGAGGATCTGAACATGGGTCTCTTGCATTGCAGGCAGATTCTTTATCATCTGAGCCACTAGGGGAGCCCAAGAAAACCAGACTGTGTTTTATAGTATCAGTACGGAACAAAAATTAAGTCCTGAGGGCCCCTTTTCCTGGCCATCATCTTCAGTCCCAGTGAGTCTGTCAGTACCTTTAACCAAGTTTTAGCCAAGTAGGAGAGACTAATGGTGATGGTAACAACAGTACACGAGCACACATTCACTTTTCCAGTGTCTGACTCCCTGAAATGGGGGCTGGAGTTTCCAGAATCTCCCTTTCTATGGTGTGTCTCCATCCTCAGGGCAGGTCTCTCTGTGAATGTACACCAAGGTACTGTGGCCACTCACACTGATCCATTCGGTATTCTAAGACTACCTACACTACCTCTCCGTTACTACTACCTCACTGTCAGTGCTGTATTTGTTGTATCAGAGAATTACCTACTCATTATGCCCATACATAAAATTTGCTCATGCCAGTGAATCTAGAGTATGTTGTATAAACTGAATGTTGAGTGTCCAGCTCAAAGCTTACAAAGAACAAACAATGATGCAATGTCATCATGTACAGGCAGTTAATGTTGTGTGAATGCTGTTGTCTGTGGTTGTTACATGAAAAGTGAATTAGATTATACTATGTACTGGATTCTAGGAATATTGTTCAAGCTTCCTTACTTTGGAAATTTTTATCCTTGATTTTATAATTAGGTAGTGATAGTCTTGGATGAAGTCTATTTTGATTTATTTCCAGGAAAAAAGAATGTTTTATTACTCATTTTGTGTCTTCTTATCTATGTAAATAAGATGACTTAGTGAAAACTTCTCCTTACACTCAAAATGTAGATGATATATATCCACAAATTTGGAATATTTTTCTTGAGTGGAGAAAACCAAGAGTTATCCTGAGAGCCAATGTATTGATTACAGTCCAAATATTTCTCCAGCAAATGCTAAACGTATTGTTAAAACTTGCCAAATGTATATAAAGAGGACATAGGATATGACATTTTAAGACAAACATCTCTGAACTTTTGTTGAAAAAATGCCAAGTTACTTGCTGACATAGCAATGCTTTATTTGGTAATAGGAAAGACCAAAATATAGATGGAGGTTATAAAATATTACAAAAGGAGAAGGAAGTTCTACTGTTAATGAGCCTACTACAAAAAGTTATTTTGACATGGCCTGAAGCTGGGGCATAATTCCTGAAGTTTTATTTGTCTCATGAAGATTGGTTACTGAAAGTAGTAGAGGAGAAGAGCTACTGAAAAGAAGGTCACATACCATTGGCCAATGTAATTTTCAGCCTCAAAAATTCCTGTGGCATAAGACAATTTTGCTCAGAATAGAAACTATTTATTATATTTAACTCTGGGATTTGGGTCCCAGAATGAAATATAAAAAAGACAGTGATTGTTAACACACATGCACACTCAGAAAATTTAACATGGAATTAAAAAACCAGGTAAGAAGAATGAGGTAAGAAAGAAGGGCCATTGAGATGTTGGGAAGAGATAATGAAAAAATGCCAGGGGTGAGAAGGCAAGGGAGAGGGAGAACAAGATAGGAAGAGAAGCCAAAGGTATTCTAGATTAAAGAGACTAGAAGCTGAGCAATTGTTTAAAATATTATCCTCTTATTTCAAAGATGTGGAAATAAGAATTGGGAAGGTGAAATAACCTTTCATCATCATTTACTACCTTGGAAAGATGCTTTTCCAAGGTAGTAAGTATAAAGGAGACTGAGTTCAAGGAATGGAAATGAGAGGCAGGGTGGGAATCCAAAGCTGTGGGAGGTGCAGTTTTTCTGAGATATGCAATTTGGGTCAGATTTTTCAGCTGGGGAAGAGAGGAAGTCACTTTAGAGTACTGAGAAAAAGCTTTGCTGAAATAAGAGATTAAATACCAGCTCTGAGAGTCAGAAGTTCTATGTCCCAGTGAAATGCTGCTTCTACCTCTTCTATTGCTAGCGCTTATCATCCCAGGTGGTGACAATGAAGATGTTAAGTGTAACTGGCTGCTCCCAGCAGAGGTGCTGGGCTTCTGGATAAAAGCATGCCCTTCAATTATGGGTGGAGAGGGAGGTGGCAGGGGGGATCGGCATGGGGAATACATGTAAATCCATGGCTAATTCATGTCAATGTATGACAAAAACCACAACAATATTGTAAAGTAATTAGCTTCCAACTAATAAAAATAAATGAAAAAAAGCATGCCGCACCCACCGCTAAGGGTCTGGGCTCTGATCTCCCCAGCCCTCTCCTCCATTCTGGAGGCTGGGGGTGAAGCCAGATGCCTTGTGGGGAGAACTGTTTCAGGCTCTATATTGTTCAGACTCTGGGTTCTTTTTTGTTCCATCCTGATTCTACATTTTTCCTCATTCTTTTCAACCTTCCACCAACACAGTGTTCCAGTGGCCAACCTTCTACCATATCATCCATATTTGGACCTTTGCCAACAGCTCCTGGGCTCCAAACCAAGGCTCAGGCTTGTTGGATGATTTGCAAATTCAAGGCTGGAAGAGTGACTTGGGCACTACCATTTCCCTGAAGCCCTGGTCCAAGGGGAACTTTAGTGATGAAGAGATGACTGGACTGCAGGACCTAGTCCGAGTATATTTCATTGGATTCACTCGGGTTGTGCAGGACCATGTCAGTGAGTTCTAGTTGGAATGTGAGTACAGTCCTCTGACCTGGAGAGACTCTTAAGGACTTTTCTCTTTCTTGGTCAGGCTACTATTCCCACTGATCATGATCCACTCCTTCCCTCAACTGCATGCACACAGCTCTCCAGAGTAGTCTCCAACCCTGACTCCTTACCTCCACCCAGTATCCCAGATTCTTCCTGTTTCTTGCAGTTTTGTGTAATAGATGATGTTCCTGCTTTGTACCATTTCCTGTTTTGCGTGTATGTCACTTGTCACTCTCAAAACCTAGGAAAAACTCCTTTTCCTACTGTGTGCCTGAATGAACTAAAGTATGACTTCCCCATCCTCCAATTCATATCCTCAAGCATCTGCTGCCTAATCTCCTCTCCCAGCATAACCCTCTCCTTCACCCTGGAATGCTGCCTTCCTGACCCCATCACACACTGCTCCCCTTCTCCCCTCTTAGCCACTGTACATCCTTAAAAGAACCCATCCCCACTGTTTATGATAGGCATACCTCTAACCAATGCTCTTCTTCCTGAAAAGTCCTGAATACTGCAATTGGTTTTTGAGTTATAATTTCATATCTCAGACCTTTCTTGCCACTAAAATCCAAAGGCCTATGCCTTTTCCTCATCCTTTTCTTCGTTGTTTGCATTTTAATAACTTGTCTCTGTTTTCCTTTACACAGACCCTTTTGTGATCCAAGTCAAAGCAGACTGTGAGCTGCATTCTGGGGAGGCTATAGGAAGCTCTTTGAGAGGAGCTTTAGGAGGAATGGACTTTGTGAGGATCCAGAATCATTCCTCTGTACGTGCACCAGCCAGTGGCAGCAGGGGGCAGAAGTTTTGTGTACTCATGACTCAATATCCAGGCATATCTGATATCATTGAGAGGCTCCTCTCAGAAACCTGTCCTCGATATCTCCTGGGTGTTCTTGATGCAGGGAAGGCAGAACTGCAGAAGCAAGGTTAGTCTTGTTCTCTCCCCAAGACTTTTCTATTTTACCTCCCAGCACCTTTATTTTATTTTTTTTTTCCAGCACCTTCTTTAAATTCAAAAGTGGAAAATACCTAAGTTGAGAGGTGTTTAATCAATAAATGAGCTGATTCCCATAGGAGTGGAAGAGGCAACTGTCCAAATCTGTGGGTTTCTGAGTCCCCATGCTCTGGACTAGAGTCATAATCTGACATTCTTACTGCTGCTTCCTACCCCAGTGAAGCCAGAGGCCTGGCTGTCCAGTGGCCCCCCTCCCCGGCCTGGCAGTCTGCGGCTGGTCTGCCACGTCTCAGGATTCTACCCAAAACCTGTGTGGGTGACATGGGTGAGGGGCGAGCAGGAGCAGCCTGGCACTCAGCAAGGAGACATCATGCCCAATGCAGACTGGACATGATATCTCCGGTATCCCTGGATGTGGCAGCTGGGGAGGTGGCTGGCCTGAGCTGCCGAGTGAAGCACAGCAGCCTGGGAGACCAGGACGTCATCCTGTACTGGGGTGAGGAGGAAGTGGGAACGGGCGGGAGGTGGTCATCAAGCCCAGAGGGCAGTCCTGAGGAAGGGGAGAGACTTGATGGATGAGCTATGGAGGGAGGGAAGGAGAGGGGGAAGAAAGAGTGACAGAGGGAGAGGTAGGAAGGGAGAGACAAAGAAAGAGAGACAGAGTTTGAGGTTTATTTCTGGGACTACAGTGCCAGAGGCATGAAAATAGCTGATCTGAGGCAGGCAATAGGTAAGAATGAAGGACTATAAACTGGGTGGGATGGGGCCAGAAGAAGAGACTGAGTGTGGCTGTGAGAATATGACATCTGGGAATATGAGAAAGGGAATCAGAGATGTCCAATCATCAAAAGCAGGTAACAGTGTGTGTTGACACTCCGGTGGGCAAGAAGGCCTGGAGAACTAGAGAATGGGTTCGAAGTGATATCCCTTTGTCTTCTCCCAATTGCCAGGACACCCTGCATCCATTGGCTTGATACTTGTGGCAATAATAGTGCCCTCCTTGATCCTTTAGATATGTCTGGCAATATGGTTTTGGAGACGCTGGTGAGTTTTCATTTTTTAGTCTTTCTTTTCTGTCCATCCTTTTATTCTTTCCCTCCATTTTATCTATTAATATTATGCCCTTTTAGCCTCAATATTTCCACTAGAAGCTTTCCCCAACTCCCATCTATAGGTAAATTTATTTTTTAAGAATTGCTGTAAATTACATCTTGGAAAATTTACTGCACTAGCCATTTTTACACATATAGTTTAGTAGTCCTAACTACATTCACATTTTATGCAGCCAGTCTCTAGAACTCTTTTCATCTTGAAAAACTAAAAGTCTAGGCCCATTAAACCACTTTCCCTAATCCTTGCTCCCTCAGACCCTGGCAACCAGCATTCTACTTTCTGTCTATATGAACCTCTATACTCTAGGTACTTCTAGAAGTGGAATCATTTGCATTTTTGTGAATGGTTATTACATTTAGCATTATGTCCTCATAATTCATTCATGTGGTGATCTGTATTAAAATTTCTTCCCTTTTAAATGTTTCGTTTACCTGTTCATCTCTCAACAGACACTGGGTTAATTCAACAGTCACTTTTGCCTATTGTGAATAAGGCTGCTATGAACATAGTATACAAATATCACTTAAGAAGAGCAATTTTTTTGCTGTGTTCTTAACAGGTCATATCAGAATATCTCATGAGCCCTGAATGTCTCCTTTTCCATTTGGAATAAGTATCCAGGAACCCTGAAACTCAAGTTGTCAGTCTAGGAGTCAATCTCATCATATTTCATCAAAGAATCATCACATTTGATCAGATCATTGTTGTTGTAGGTTTTAAGATAAATCATAATTTATACCCTGGCAGAAACATAAATGAAAGTTGTTATTATGAGACAATATCACTAGCAGGATCCACTCAGATTTCATAGATGTGATTTGTGAGAAAAAATATACCTTGGAATAAATGAAATGATGTACACAACTTCATGGTGACATTCCTTTGATTTCTTATTTAAAACTTTTTTTTTCCTTCTGCTGAAATATCATTTTTCAAATTGAACTAACTGTAATTATGCTGGCATAATTGTATTTGCAGAGCTGCTGAGCACTTTTAACAAAGTTTCTCCATCTTAGCCTGGATGATTTTCTAACTATAATGGTTAGCTGAGCAGCTTGTTTCTCCAGAAAGCCTTCCTTAATGCTACAGTGGAAGTAACCTCCCTTGACTGGTATCTTGCATAGATCCACTTTACTCATACCCAGAACACTACAGTTCTTATTGTTTTTCTTTTCTTTCTACTTATAAGTTCCTTGAGAGAAGAGCTTGCTCTTGGTGGATCTCTGGCCCAAATCATATTTTTGTGTGTAGTGTTTTTATTGTTATTCTAAAGCTATCTTGTGTGAATAGGCTAGTGAGATATGGTGTATAGTGAGACAGGTGGACAATTTGAAATATAGCATATAGTGGATTTAAGTGAGTACATAATTGTGTTGATTCACAGGAAACTAGAATTTTTCTATGTGGAAAAGTTGATGTGAGTAAATGAGTAAAACTCTGTAGTTTTAAACTTGAATTGCAAGTATAAATAAAAAAATCATAATATTAAGACTTAAAAAAAGGGTCCTTGCCACTTAAAAAAACCCTAAAATGAAGGCTTAGAACTCAGATTAAGGCTTTCACATATTTTCCCACTACAAGGAACCAAGGTACCTTGGAGAACTGACTGATTTCTAGTTTGGCGCAGGAAGTTTCTCCGAGTCTGGAACAACTTTGCCATACCAGAAGGTAAAGGGAAGCTCAATGATAAATGTATGATAAAAGGATTCATATGTGACTGGGTTGAAAAAACTCCCATGTCATAATTGGGACAGTTTGAGTCTCAAGAGAAACAATGGTAGGATTTGATGCTGTTGTTTAACAACTAAGTTGTGTTGAATCTTTGTGACCCCATGGACTGCAGCATGCCAGACTTCAGTGTCCTTCACTGTCTCCTTGAGATTGCTCAAATTCATGTCCATTGAATCAGTGAAGCTATCTAACCATTTCATCCTCTGCCACTCCCTTCCCCTTTTGCCTTCCATCTTTCCCAGCATCAGAGTCTTTTCCAGTTCATCAGCTCCTTGCATCAAGTGGCCAAAGTGCTGGAGCTTCAGCTTCATCATCATTCTATCCAATGAATATTCAGGGTTGATTTACTTTAAGACTGACTGGTTTGATCTCCTTGCTGTCCAAGGAACTCTCAAGAATCTTATTCAGCCCTTCAGTTAGAAAACATCAATTCTTTGTCACTCAACCTTCTGAACAGTCCAACTCATACATCCGTGCATTGTTGTTGTTCAGTCTCTCAGTCCTGTCCAACTCTTTGTGACCCCATGGACTGCAGCACACCAGGCTTCCCTGTTCATCACAAATCTGGAGTTTGCTCAAATTCATGTCTGTTTAATCAGTGATGCTATCCAATCATCTCATCCTGTGTTGCCCCTTTCTCCTCTTGCCCTCAATCTTTCTCAGCATCAGGGTGTTTTCCAATGAGTCAACTCTTCACATCAGGTGGCCAAAGTATTGGAGCTTCAGCTTCAGCATCAGTCCTTCCAATGAATATTCAAGGTTGGTTTCCTTTAAGATACACTGGTTTGATCATTTTGCTGTCCAAGGGATTCTCAAGAGTCTTCTTCAGCACCACAGTTTGAAAACATCAATTCTTAGGCACTCAGCTTTCTTCATGGTCCAAATCTCGCATCTGTACATGACTACTGGAAAAACCATAACTTTGACAATACAGACCTTTGTTGTCAAGGTGATGTCTCTTCTTTTCAATATGCTGTCTAGGCTTGTCATTGCTTTTCTTCCAAGGGCAAGCGTCTTAATTTTGTGGCTGCAGTCATTGTCCACAGTGATTTTGGAGCCCATGAAAATGAAATCTGTCACTGTTTCCATTTTCCCCCATCTATTTGCTGTCAAGTGATGGGACCAGCTGCCATGATCTTAGTTTTCTGAATATTGAGTTTTAAGCCAGCTTTTTCACTCTCCTATTTCACTTTCATCAAGAGACTCTTTAGTTGCACTTTGCTTTTTCCATAAGGGTAGTGTCATCTGCACATCTTAAGTTATTGATATTTCTCCTAGCAATCTTGATTACAGCTTGTGCTTTATCCAGCCTGGCATTTTGCATGATGCACTCTGCATAGAAGCTAAATAAGCAGGTTGACAATATGCAGCCTTGATGTACTCCTTTCTCAGTTTTCACCAATTTGTTGTTCCATGTCGGGTTCTAACTGTTGCTTCTTGACCTGAATACAGTTTTCTCAAATCATCTCTTGAAGAATTTTCAAAAAATTTTTGTGATCCACACAGTCAAAGGCTTTAGCATAGTCAATGAAGCAGAAAGTGAAAGTCTCTTAGTCGTGTCCGACACTTTGCCACCCCATGGACTATACAGTCCATGGAATTCTCTCGGCCAAAATACTGGAGAGGGTAGCTTTTTCATTCTCCAGGGGATTCTCCCAACCCAGGGACTGAACCCACATCTCCTGCATTGCAGGTGGATTCTTCTGCCAGCTGAGGCAGAAGTAGACTTTTTTTTGGGGGGGGCGGAATTCCCTTCCTTTATCTATGTTCTAGCAGATGTTAACAATTTGCTCTCTGGTTCCTCTACCTTTTCTAAATCCAGCTTGGACATCTAGAAGTTAACTTTTGGCACATGGTTTAAATTACAACATTAAAAACAAAAAGTTATAGCACAGGCTACACAGTTGCTTGAGTTTTGTTTGTTTAGTTTATCAACATGCCCCAAATCGAGAAGTGGAAAAATTAAAGCCACCAAATCAGTGAGTAATATTTAGTAAGAGTTTATTTTGGATATATAAACAATCCTCAAATGGGGAGATTCCAAATTAAAAGATTGATGTGAAGTTCAGGGGTATGAAATTACAGAATGACTTATAGAGTAAAAATGAGGAAGTTGTTAATTTTTACAATGATTGATTACTACAGCATAAGTTTCTCTTGCCATTTTTCTTTAGTTGACCTCTGTTTCTTTTATGATTGCCAGAACCATTTACAAAACAAACCTAGCTTGAGTTTCACTTACTTTTGTTAAATAAGTTGGTTTTAGTTTTCTTAAATGGCTGAAACATTTTTGTCTGCTCAGGAAATTCTCACATCCATAGTCCATGTGTATGTAGTTTTAGTACTCTTTAGATACTGTGACCAGCACTCAGACTGTACCGTATTGCATAGTAGCTGTCCTCAAGCAACCATCAGATACCAGCTCACCTGGGCAACTGCCTTGGACTTCAGTGGAAGGTCCTCTGGTGTCCTCAGGCTTAGAAATCTTACTTCTGTACCTGAGGTGTGTGTCTTCCTTGCTTTTGGAGTAGACTTTAAGGTACTCGTATTTATTTTTGTAGGGAACTTAAGGGAATCAGAGGTAAAATTTCACCTTTTTATCTCTACTGTCTCAGACTAATTTTCACCAATAAAGGCAAGATCTTGTTTACTGATCTTCTTGATTGGAGTAATTGAGATTTTGAAATAATTTGTTTCCACTCAGGTTTTCACTTTGGTACCATGGGCCATTGAGAGAGGAGCCTTTATAGTATTAGTGTGGAGTAAAAATCAAGCTCTGAGTGCCATACTTCCTGGACATCATCTTTGTGTCCCAGTGAGTCTGTCAGTAACTTTAGCCAAGTATTAGCCAAGTAGGAGACACTAATGGTAATGATAAAAATGGTACAGAGAGCATAGGTTCACTTTTCTGGTGTCTGACTCCCTGAAATGGGGGCTGGAGTTCTCAGAATCTCCCTTTCCCTGGTGCATCTCCATTTTCAGAGGAGGTCTCTCTGTGAATGTACACCAAGGTGCTGTGGCCACTCACACTGATCTATCTGATATTCTCTCCAAGACTACCTGGCTTAGCTCTCTGTTACTGCTGCATCACTGTCAGTGTTGTATTTGCCATATGAGAGAATGAGATAGGTGGGCAAACCAAAGGAATACTTCTAGATTCAAAGAGATTGGAAGTTGAGCAATTGTTTAGTATTACCCTCTTATTTAATAGATGTGGAAATAAAGGATTAGGAAGGTGAAATAACTCTTCAGCATCACAGGGGAGTTTTTCCAGGGTAGTGAGTATAAAGGAGATTAAGACCAATGAATGGAAATGCGGTAGAGTGGGAGCTCAGAGTTGTGGGAGGCACAGTTTTTCTGAGATGTGTAATGTGGGTCAAAGATTTGTCAGTTGGGGAAGAGAGGAAGTCAATTTAGAGTACTGAAAAAAATTGCTGAAATTAGAGCTCAAATACCAGCTCCGAGAGTCAGAAGTTCTACTTCCCAGTAAGATGCTGCTTCTAGCACTTCTGTTACTTGGACTTATCCTCCCAGGTGCTGACAACGAGGGTAAGAATAACTCCGGCTGCTCCCAGCACAGGTGCAGGGGTTCTGGATGAAAGCATGCCGCACCTACCACTAAGGGTCTGGGCTCTGCTGTCTCCAGCCCTCTCCCCTATTCTGGAGGCTGGGGATGGAGCCAGAAGCTTTGGGGGCAGGGAACTGTTTCAAGCTCTGTTTTTTTGTTCAGACTCTGGGTTCTTTTTCATTCTATCCTGATTCTACATTTTCCCCTCACTCTTCTTATCTTTCCACCACTACAGTGTTCCAGGGGCCAACCTCCTTCCATCTCATGCAGATTTCAACCTTTGCCAACAGCACATGGGCTCAAAATCAAGGCTCAGGCTGGTTGGGTGACTTGCAAATTCATGGCTGGGAGAGTGACTCAGGCACTATAATTTTCCTAAAGCCTTGGTCCAAGGGCAACTTTAGTAATGAGGAGATGACTGAGCTGGAGGACCTCTTCCGAGCCTACTTCATTGGATTCACTCGGGAAGTGCAGGATCGAGTCAATGAGTTCCAGTTGGAATGTGAGTACAGTCCTCTGATCTGGAGAGACTCTCAATGACTTTTCTCTCTCTTGTGTCAGGCTACTACTCCCTCTGACAATGGTCCCTTTCCCCCCTCTTTATCCAACTGCATGTACACACTTGTCCAGAGTAGCCTTCAACCCTGACTCCATACCTCCACCCAGTATCCCAGATTCTTCCTGTTTCTTGCTGTCTTCTGTGTACATGACCACTCTTGTGGTCATTTCTTGTTTGTGTGTATGTAACTTGCTTCTCTAAAACCGCAAGGAAGAACCTCCTTTTCCTATTCTGTGCCTGAGTGAACTTAAGTGTGACTTCCTACTCCTCCACTTGATGTCCTCAAGCACCTGCTGCCAGATTACCTTCTCTACATGTAACCATTCCCTACACCGTGGAATGCTGCACTTTCAACTCCATCACACATTGCTCCTCTCCCCTCTTGCCCACTCTACATCCTTAAAACAGTCTAACCCCACCGTTGATGACATGCATACCTCTCCCCAATGCTCTTTCTGAAAAGTCCTGAATATTGCAATTGGTTTTATGTCAATAATTGCACCTCTCAACTTGTTACCACTAAAATAAAAAAGTCCTATGCCTTTTTCTCATCTCTTTCTTTCCTGTTTGCTTTTTAATAACTTGTCTCGGTTTTCCTTTACACAGACCCCTTTGTGATCCAGCTCACAGCAGGATGTGAGCTGCATTCTGGGGAGGCCATGGAAAGCTCTTTGACAGGAGCTTTAGGGGGATTGGACTTTGTGAGGATCCAGAATCATTCCTGTGTGCCTGCATCAGACAGCGGCAACAGGGGGCAGAAGTTTTGTGCACTCATGAATCAGTATCAAGGCATCTCTGATATCATTGAGAGGCTCCTCTCAGAAACCTGTCCTCGATATCTCCTGGGTGTCCTCGATGCAGGGAAGGCAGAACTGCAGAGACAAGGTTAGTCTTATGCTCTCCCCAAGATGTTTCTATTTCTCCTCCCTCCACTTTCTTTAAATTCAAAAGTGAGAAGTACCTAAATAGAGAAATGATTAATCAATAAGTCATTTGGTGCCCATAGGAGTGGAAGAGGTAACTGTTCAAATCTGTGGGTTTCTGAGTCGCTATCCTCTGAATTGGAGTCATAATCTGATGTTCTTACTGCTGCTTCCTACCCCAGTGAAGCCGGAGGCCTGGCTGTCCAGTGGCTCCCCTCCCCGGCCTGGCCACCTGCGGTTGGTCTGCCACGTCTCAGGATTCTACCCAAAACCCGTGCGGGTGACATGGCTGAGGGGAGAGCAGGAGGAGCCTGGCACTCAGCAAGGAGACGTCATGCCCAACGCCGACTCGACTTGGTATCTGCGAGTAACCCTGGATGTGGAGGCTGCGGAGGCGGCTGGCCTGAGCTGCCGAGTGAAGCACAGCAGCCTGGGAGACCAGGACATCGTCCTGTACTGGGGTAAGAAGGAAGTGGAGCCCAGCTGGAGATGGGAGGAGGTGGTCCTCAAGGACAGAGAGGGGGACACAGGAAGGGGAGAGATTTGATGGATGAGAGAAGGATGGAGGGAGGAAGACAGGCTTGGAGAGAGGAAAGGCAGAGAGGATAGAGAGAATCAGGGAGACAGAGAGAGAGTCAGAATCTGAGATTTATTTCTAGGACTACAGTGCCAGAGGTATGAAAATAGCTGATCTAAGCTGTACAATAGATAATAATGAAGTGGTTTCACTACACAGTAGTAGTAGTAGTCCCACTGTAGTCTGCGTGGGATTCAGCAAGAAGGAGAGACTAAGGGTGGCTGTGAGTATAAGACCTCTGGGAACATGAGAAAGGGAACCAGAGATGCCCATGCATCAGAAGCAGTTAATGATGGTGTTGACACTCAGATGGGCGAGAAGGCCTGGAGAACTAGAGAATGGCTTTGAAGTGACATTCCTTTGTCTTCTCCCAATTGCCAGGACACCCCACATCCATTGGCTTGATACTTGTGGCAATAATAGTACCCTCCTTGATCCTTTTGATAATCCTTGCAATATGGCTTTGGAGACGCTGGTGAGTTTTCATTTTTTAATCTATTTTTTTTCTGTCCATCCTTTTACACTTTCCCTCCTTTTTATCTATTAGCATTACATCTCTTTAGTCTCAAAATTTCTGCTAGAACATTTCCCTTTTGTACCTAACTTCCATCTATAGGTAAATTTATTTTTTAAAAATTGCAGTAAAATACATCATGGAAAATTTACTGCATTAGCCATTTTTTTAAAACACATATAGTTTAGTAGTATTAAGTACATTCACATTTATGCAGCTAATCCTTAGAACTCTTTTCATCTTGAAAAACTAGAAGTCTAGGCCAATTAAATGACTTTCCCTAATCCTTTCTCCCTCAGGCCCTGATAACCACCATTCTACTTTCTGTTTATATGAATCTGTCTACTCTAGGTACCTCATAGAAATGAAATCATTTGTCTTTTTGTGAATGGCTTATTCCATCTAGCATTATGTCCTCATAATTCATTCATGTGGTGATCTGTATTAGAATTTCTTTCCTTTTAAATGTTGTTTTGTTTACCTGTTCATCTCTCAACAGACACTTGGGTTAATTCACATTTTAGCTGTTGTGAATAATGCTGCTATGAACATAGTGTACAAATATCTCTTAAGTTGAGCATTTTTTTGCTTGTGTTCTTAACAGGTCATATCAGAATATCTTGTGAGCCCTGACCATGTCTCCTTTTCCATTTGGAATAAGTATCCAGGAACCCTGAAACTCAAGTTGTCAGTCTAGGAGTCAATCTCATCATATTTCATCAAATGATCATCACATTTGATCAAATTATTGTTTCTATAGGTTGTAAGATAAATCATAATTTATACCCTAGCAGAAACATAAATGAAAATTGTTATTATGAGACAATATCACTAGCAGGATCCACTCAGATTTCATAGATGTGATTTGTGAGAAAGAATATACCTTGGAATAAATGAAATGATGTACACAACTTCATGGTGACATTCCTTTGACTTCTTATTTAAAACTTTTTTTTTTTTGCTTCTACTGAAATATCATTTTTCAAATTGAACTAGCTAGAGTTATGCTGAGGTAATTGTATTTGCAGAGTTGCTGAGCATTTTTAACATAATTTCACTCTCTTTATTTGGATGATTTTCTAACTATGAGGGTCAGCTGAGCAGCTTGTTTCTCCAGATAGCCTTCCTTACTATTGGAGTGGAAGTAACTCTCCCTTGACTGGTATCGTGCAGAGATACACTTTACTCTGTACCCAGAGTGCTGCAGTTTCTTTTCTTTTTATTTTCCTTCTACTTATGAGTTCCTTGAGAGAATGGCTTGTTCTCAGTGGATCCCTGTCGAAAACTTATTTCTGGTGGTAGAGTTATTACTGTTATTGTAAGACTATCATGTTTGTATAAGTTAGTGAAATGTATACAGTGGGGCAAGTGGATAGTATATAGTTTAGGTGATTATATAGTTGTGTTAATTCACTTGGAACCAAGATTTCTGTTTAGAGAAGTTGATATGAGATAGATGTAATATTAAACTCTGTAATCTTAAACTTGAATTGCAAGCATAATTAAAAAATCATAATATTTAGACTTAAAAAATGTCCTGACCACTTAAAAAGCCCCAAAATAAAGACTTAGTGCTCACATTATGGCTTTGACATATTTTCACACTAAAGGAAACAAAGCACCTTGAAAAAATGGCTGATTTCTAGTTGGGACAGAAAGATTCTTCAAGAGTCTGGAACAACTTTGCATACCATAAGGTAAAGGGAAGCTCAATGATAAGGGTATGTTGAAAGGATTCACAAATGACTGGTGTGAAAAGGCTCCCATGTCACAATTGGGACAGTTTGAGCCTCAAGAAACAATGGGGCTAGGATCTGTTGTTGTTCAGTCACTCAGTTGTGTATGACTCCTTGTAATCCCAGGGACTTTACAGCATGCTGGTCTTCCCTCTCCTTCGCTATCTCCTGAATTTTGCTCACATTCATGTCCATTGAGTTGATGATGTTATCTAACCATCTCAACCCCCTGTTGCCTCTTCTCCTTTTGCCTTCAATCTTTCTCAGCATCAGGGTTTTTTTTTTTTCCCCAAATGCATCAGCTCTTCACATTATGTGGAAAGAGTGAAGGCAGGAGGAGAAGGGGACAATAGAGGATGAGATGGTTGGATGGCATCACTGACTTGGTGGACATGAGTTTGAGCAAGCTCTGGGAGTTGGTGATGGACAGGGAAGCCTGACGTGCTGCAGTCTGTGGGTTTGCAAAGAGTTGAACATGACTGAGTGACTGAACTGAATAGAGCAACTGAGCATGCAACCCACAAACTGGAGAACCAAAGGAGTTCTGGTATAACAAATTTAACGACAGTTCTTTCTCAATGTGAAAATTATGGGACCCACAAGAAATTTCCCAACCTGGAGATCTGGCAGAGGGGCTAAGAACTCCCAGGGAATATGCCTTCAAAGGCCAGTGGAATTTGATTACAGAACTTCCACAGGACTGGGGAAACAGACTCTTGGAAAGCACAAACAAACCATTGTGTGCACCAGGACCCAGGAGAAAAGAGCACTGACCCCTCAAGAGACTGAACCAGACTTGCCTATGAGTGCTTGGGAGTCTCTGGCAGAAGTGTGGGTTGACACTGGCCTGCTTCAGGCCAGGAACACTGAGTGCAATAGTCCTGGGATGTGCGGCATGCTGGCATAAGTCCTGGAGGAGGTTGCCATTACCCCTACCATAATCTGGCCTTAGACCCACCCATCAGCAGGAAATTGGATTAAAGATTTACTGAGCATGATCTTGCCCATCAGAGCAAGACCCAGTTTTCACCACAGTCAGTACCTCCCATCAGGAAGCTTCCACAATCCTTTATCCTCATCCATCAGAGGGCGGGCAGAATGCAAACCACAATCACAGAAAACTAACCAAACTGATCACATGGATCACAGTTTTGTCTAACTCAATGAAACTATGAGGAATGCCATGTAGGGCCACCCAAGACAGACAGGTCATGGTGGAGAGTTCTGACAAAGTGTTGTCCACTGGAGAAGGGAATGGCAAACCACTTCAGCATTCTTGTCTTGAGGACCCCATGAACAATATGAAAAGACAAAAAGATATGACATTGAAAGATGAAGTCCACAGGACAGTAGGTGCCCAATGTACTACTGCAGAAGAGCAGAGAAGTAGCTCCAGAAGGAATGAAAAGTCTGAGCCAAAGTGGAAAAAAACATCCAGCTGTGGATGTGTCTGGTGATGAAATTAAAGCCTGATGCTGTAAAGAGCAATACTGCATAGGAACCTGGAATATTAGGTCCATGAATCAAGATAAATTGGAAGTGGTCAAACAGGAGATGGCGAGTGAACATTGATATTTTAGAAATCAGTGAACTAAAATGGACTGGAAAGGGCTAAGTTAATTCAAATGGGCAAGAATGTGTACAAGAATCCCTTAGATGAAATGGAGTAGCCCTCATAGTCAACAAAAGAGTCTGAAATGCAGTACATGGGTGCAATCTCAAAAATGACATAATATTCAGTATCACAGTAATCCAGGTCTATGCCCCAACAATTAATGCCAAAGAAACTGAAGTTGAATGGTTCTAAGACCTACAAGAACTTCTAGAACTAACACCAAAAAGATGTCCTTTTCATCATAGGAGACTGGAATGCAAAAGTAGGAAGTTGAGAGATACCTGGAGTAACAAGCAAGTTTGGCTTTGGAGTTCAAAATGAAGCAGGGCAAAAGCTAACAGAGTTTTGCCAAGAGAACACACTGGTCATAGCAAAGAAACACTTTCAACAACACAAGGGATGACTCTAAACATGGACATCATCAGATGGTCAACACTGAAATCAGACTGATTATATTCTTTGCAGCCAAAGATGGAGAAACTCTATACAGTCTGCAAAAACAAGACCAGGAATTGACTGTGGCTCAGATCATGAACTCCTTATTGCAAAAATCAGACTTAAATTGAAGAAAGTAGGGAAAACCACTAGGTCATTCAGGTAGGACCTAAATCAAATCCCATACGATTATACAGTGAAAGTGAGAAATAGATTCAAGGGATTAGATTTGACAGATAGAGTGCCTGATGAACTATGAACAGAGGTTTGTAACACTGTACACGAGGCAGTGATCAAAACCATGCCCAAGAAAAAGAAATGCAAAAAGTCAAAATGGTTGTCTGAGGAAGCCTTACAAATAGCTGAGAAAAGAAGAGAAGTGAAAGGCAAAGGAGAAAAGGAAAGATATACCCATCTGAATGCAGAGTTCTAAAGAAGAGCAAGGAGAGATAAGAAAACCTTTCTAAGTGAACAATGCAAAGAAATAGAGGAAAAAAATAGAATGGGAAAGATTAGGGTTCTTTTCAAGAAAATAAAAATACCAAGGGAACATTTCATGTAAAGATGGGCACAATAAAGGACAGAAACGGTATAGACCTAACAGAAGCAGTGGATATTAAGAAAAATGGCAAGAATAACAGAAGAACTACACAAAAATGATCTGGATAACCAAAAGGTGTGATCATTCACCTACAGCCAGACATCCTGGGGTGAAAATTCTAGTGAGCTTTAGGAAACATCACTACGAACAAAGCTAGTGGAGGTGATGGAATTCCAGTTGAGCTATTTCAAATCCTAAAAGATCATGCTGTGAAAGTGCTGCATTCAATATGCCAGCAAATTTGGAAAGCTCAGCACTGGCCACAGGACTGGAAAAGGTCAGTTTTCATTCCAACCCCAAAGAGGGCAATTCCAAAGAATTTCAAACTACTTACAATTGCACTCATTTCTCATGCTATCAAGGTCATGCTCAAAATTCTCCAAGCTAGGTTTCAACAGTATGTGGACATAGAAATTTCAGATGTAAAAGCTGCATTTAGAAAAGGCAGAGAAACCAGAGATCAAATTGCCAACATCTGTTGAATCGTAGAAAAAGCAAGAGAATTCCAGAAAAATACCTATTTCTGCTCCATTAACTATGCTAAAGCCTTTGACTGTGAGGAGTAGAACAAACTGTGAAAGTTCTTCAAAAGATGGGAATATCACACCACCTGACCTGCCTTCTGAGAAACCTGTATTCAGGTCAAGAAGCAACAGTAGAACCAGATAAAGAGCAAAAAACTGGTTCAAAATTGGGAAAAAGTGCGACAAGGCTGTATATTGTCACCCTGCTTATTTAACTTATATGCAGAAATACATCATGAGAAACGCTGGGCTGGATGAAGCACAAGCTGGAATCAAGACTGCTGGGAGAAATATCAATAACCTCAGATATGCAGATGACCTCACCCTTATGGCAGAAAGTGAAGAAGAACTAAAGAGCCTCTTGATGAAAGTGAAAGAGGAGAGTGAAAAAGTTGGCTTAAAGCTCAACATTCAGAAAACTAAGATCATGGCATCTGGTCCCATCACTTCATGGCAAATAGATGGGGAAACAGTGAAAACACTGGCTGACTTTATTTGGGGGGGCTCCAAAATCACTGTAGATGGTGGCTGCAGCCATGAAATTAAAAGACGCTTGCTCCTTGGAAGAAAAGCTATGACACACCTATACAACATATTAAGAAGCAGAGACATTACTTTACCAACAAAAATCCATAGAGTCAAAGCTATGATTTTTCAGAAGTCATGTTTGGATGTGAGAGTTGAACCATAAAGAAGATTGAGTGCTGTAGAATTGATGCTTTTGAACTGTGCTCTTGGAGAAGAGTCTTGAGAGTCTCTTGGACAGCAAGGAGATCGAACCACTCAATCTCAAAGGAAATCAATTCTGAATATTCGTTGGAAGGACTGTTGCTGAAGCTGAAGCTCCAATACTGTGGCTACCTAATACGGAGAGCTGACTCTTTAGAAAAAACTCCAATGCTGGGAAAGATTGAGGGCAGGAGGAGAAGGGGGTGACAGAGGATGCGATGTTCAAATGGCCCCCAACTCAATGGATATGAGTTTGAGCAAGCTCTGGGAAA